GCATCCCTTTGAGGTTTGAAACAGAAAAATTATTCAGCTATTTAGACGTTTTCTGTTTAGCTATTTAGCTGTTTCTTAAGCAACTTGTGGGTGTGGTGACGGCTGTATATGAACTCAAATAATCTTTTTCTTCGACTGTAACCTTTTTTGTAATAATTTTATTAGAGTTGATAGTAAATATTGGTATCTTGGAATCGGTAACATAATGGAATGTGATAGTGGCACTACTTGTGTAGGACCACTATTCTCCGTTCTAATTCTATTAAAGGGGGTAGGTTAAAACTGTACACTTTTTTGTGGTAATTTGACTACCAAAGTCAGAGAGTAATATATTAAAGTTGACGAATTTGGTAACATTTCTCCATGTTCTATTTCGATTTCCCGATTTTAAACATACCTTTTTGTGGTTTTTAGGGAACAGAAATCTTAAAATCTCCTTGGGGAGTACACTTATTCTATTTTTCAAGAATACCCACACAGGAAGTGAGGTCATTTTCATCTTTATCCGTAGTAAATTTAAGGGAAGATCGTAGGTGTGGAATAGAAAATCTTGCATTTCTTCTTTTTTATCATTCCGGAGTAGCTTTGAAGCCGGTTGAAGACAACTGTCGAAATTCTTCATCAGTGGAAAAATTCATACAACATTTATCATTATCTTTGATCTTTAAACAAGCATAGGTATAGAACTGTACTCGATGTAGTATTTTTGGAAATCCTTTCCATTTAGCACCTTCGCGTTCGAAATAAAGATTTTTTATTACAAATAAAATGTCTGACAAGGCACGTTCGAATTTTTCTATTTGACGAATCGTTTGAAAAGGCACAAACGCTTTTAGGAAGCATTTAAAAAACCCATTTTGATCCAATTTGATCGGCATCGGGACGCGCTGATGTTAGGTTCTCCCAATAAAGACTTTTTCGCTCGAGTCGTGAAAATTAGAGAATTTCCCGGTTAAATTGAATTGAAGTATTCTGCTCTTGATGATCCTTTGCTTTTTATTTCCCTCCCGCCTCCGTGCATTTGGCGATAAAACATCCAGAATTTTCTAATGCGGCAAAACCGATTCGATTATTTTTTTTTTTTTATTTAGTTTCCACGACGGAAATAAGTACAGTTCCTTCGGGTTTGCTTAACTCAATTTTTATTTCCAGTGCAAAACTATAGGGAAATTTATTTATGATTTATGAACCACAAATTGGGGTGTGGATTTTTTGAATTATATTTTTATCTACCCGATAGAAAATTACCAATTACCAATTTTGCAATTTTAGTGTAAACATTATAAAAAATCAGGTATGTTTTCTTTCGTTTTCGAGTGTCCAGTAGTTTAGTTTTTAAAAACCACGTGTGATTAACATGTCATATAATTGTAATAAATGACAAAAATACTCGCTATAAGGTTGCCTGTTGCTTCTTGGTATTCGGAACATTTTGGGATCATAGTCGTCCCTTTTTTTATCCGATTTGGAAAAAAATGTCAGTAAAATAACATCCTATAAGTATATTAATGATGAGAAAACAGAAAATGTTTTTTCACACGTTAAACTACTGATTGATTGATAAGGTGGACGGAATGTGACCCTTTAAAACGTCATTAACTTCATTAAACACGGTCGCTAGTCACATAAAAGGATTTAAATTAACTTTAAAACTAAATTTCATACATACTAGTTTTAATTAATTAAAATAAGTTTAAATATCAACATTTGTTCATTCAAATAAAAGTTTTACAATATATTTAAATAAACAATCATTATTTTTCCCAACATTTTAATCTCCTGCTCTAATTAGTTTAAAAAATATAATTTATGCAGTAACCCCGTAAAAGTTTTCTGTAATTTAATTGTTTTTCTGTTAATACCACTAACAACATGTCAAGTGGAATAAAACTTGAATATGATGGAAGTATATTGTTTAAAATTTCAAAATTTGAAATAATGTATTTACAAAATTATACATTAGGGAAAAACGTGTAAAAAGTGCTATCAAATTTTAATTTAATTTAATTAAAAAGCAATTATCGATTGTAGTTAAAAAAATATATATTCTATACAAAATCTACGCAATTAGATTATATGTTAAATGATCAATAATGCGACCCACACATAACGTAGTTTTACTGACGTTTTGGCGTTATCGCTGGCGATCAGAACATCTAGTCAGTTTCACCAAACACCAGTGTCTCATTAGTTTGCGATTCATTGGCAAACAAGTGCATTAATTATAATTGATGCAATGGTTTAAAAAAAAGTTGGTGGTTGAAAAAAAATAACTATATGTATATCTATCTAGATAATTTAGAAGCTATTGCAACATAATGCTACACCATTATTAACAAAACAGGATACTCACATGAGAAAAGATATAGAAGAGGTAGAAGAGAAACTTATATTGTCGCTAAATTTCTTGGCAAGCTTTATTTTTTATATTTCAATTGAAATATTCTTTCTTTATTATCAACCTTAAATATTTTTCCTGTTTAAAATATTCGATAAAAGCAAAAATAAATTATTTTGATTGCCCAAAACTTAGATTCGACGCCATTTCTCTGCATATACACATGCATTTTCTAGGCGTTTCTCTTTCGCGCACCAGGAAAAGTAGTTTGTGTATGAGTCGCATATCGTTGTATTACGATACAGGGTGTTTAAAATATAGAGTGTTTCGAAAATGATATATTTTGTTGCACGAAAATCCAGCACAGTACTGTGAAAACCGCATGACTCTATCTGCCATACAAACTAAGATACTTGGCATTAATAATGAAAAATTGACATACTGTACGGTATTTGCTTGAAGGTAGTGGACAATGATTCAGATTGTCGAACTTCAATTATCTTTATTTTCAGTTTGTTTGTTGTTTGATCTATACATATTCTGTGGTTCCTGACCTTCTGATTTCACTACTCATTGTGTGCTTCCTATGTTCTCCAACTCTACCGTTTAAAGCTCTTTTTGTTTTCTCCAATATATGACATTTATTTATTCACATTCACAGGGTATTTGATAGATACACTCCCGGGTGATTAAAAAAAAAACGATTTTTGTTTTGGATCTGACTCGCAAAAACTAGTTGATAGTTATCTATAGAAAGTACTTACCACGTATGAGCTCTTAATATTGATGGGAAGATTATCCTCATTATAGTTTTGCATTTTCGATTTAGTCTCATATATAAATAATCACATCTTATCACTAATGTGGTATTTAAATGATGAACTCGCTGTTTTATCACTGTTTGATGATATTATTACTATACCCTAATTTTGAGATCGATCAAATGAACATCAATTCGATTATTCAAAAGGATTTGAGTGACTTCGTTTCTCCAAAACCATTAAATTTGTTCAAAATCTTTGACCCACCATATGATTTCCCTGATGTTGGCATTGCATTGTGGGCTTCGGAGTTATAAGGAAAATGAAGAGCATTTCAAACAATTGAAAGTTGTTAATGACGCAGCAGAGCGTGGAGTGACGTTGGTCTTTGAATATAATCAGTGTTTGATGCAAAATGAAGAACAGTTTCAATACTTGCTGCAAGTTGTTAACGAACATCAAGAACTATTTCCTGACTGTAGTAAAAGTCGATTTGTTTAACTAAATCTAAAAAATATATATTTTTCTTAATTAATACTGTATTAAGGTATAAAATTTCATATGGTGGAACCGAATTATTTTTCTATTAATGCAATTATTAATATTTCTTGCAAAAAGATCATTTTTTTTCTGAAATAGATTATAAATAATCTCAAAATTTACTAACTTAATGAATAAATTGAAAATATTTATTAAAAACTATGCATATAAGTACCCATTGGGATTCCAATGCAAATATGTTCAAAATGGTTCAAGTAATCGATAAATATAAGAATTATTTTTCAATCAATAACAAAATTCATTTTTCTTTAAATTCTTCAATCTTCGTCCCCGAATATCTTTGAAATGGTTCGATTTATTGAAAAAGTATAGAGACCATTTTTGCAGAGTGTTCTATAGAAATTATTAAGTTTTTTTTTTATTTATATATGAGACTAAACCGAAAATGCAAAACTATAAGGATAATATTCCCATTAATATCAAGAGCTCGTACGCGGTAAGTACTTTCCAGAGGTAACTAGCAACTAGTTTTTGTGTGTCAGAAAGAAAAACAATAATCGGTTTTTTTGACCCATCTTAATAAACTCGTTTTTTCTTGAGTCGATGTTTCTCTCATTGTTCTTGTAACTATGCTCCTTAATGTTGTTCCGGACCTGATTACAGTCTCAACTTTGTATTGTTTTGCTATTCGACTGATCTTTTTTGAGATTCCTTTCACGTATGACACTTCGTCACTGCATATAACCAGCGGTTCTTGTGCGTAAAACTTCTTTTTGAGTTGAAAGTAAAAGTTATGCAGACACCTAACGAGTTCCATCACTCCCTCCAGCGCTAGCGAGGTTCTGTCTGCAAGTGTTGTATCATTCTTCAATCTGGCCTCGACAATGTCTAACGATTCCTCGAACGACACGTATAAACTTTCCACTTCAAAGCCAACAAACTTGTCTGAAGGATTTAAGTTTACTTTTTTAAAAATATCTACCAAATGTCAGGAGTTCTTTACAAATGAAGGAGTTTTTCCGAAAGTGGCTGGATAATTTGAAGCGGAAATCTACTTAAGTTGCTGGTTGTGGAATTCCGCGAACTGGTGATTGGTCTGAGTGGATTTTTGGTGCGGAGTTAACGAAAAAGCGCAAGTTCAAGCTGTATTCATAAAATGTCCTAGTGCAAGGACCTCACACTGGACCGCACCCGACTCCGTCTCGGTCTTAGCCTTAGCCTCGTAGCCTTAGAATTAAAATTGGTCTGCGCTTGATAACTTCTTGATAACGTCTGCCCGAAACGTCGTGTAAATAAAAAATAAAGACAGCGGAAGTTCGTCAATCTGTCGGTGCGGTTTAAAAAATCAATTCAGATTTTAAAAATGCTTTCGCGAAACGTTCGATGTTTCTTGTTTTCAGGCTGGCCGACCGATACCTACTGCTACACTCAACAACAGCCCGCCTCTTCACCGCCCCAATCTCTGACCGATGACGTCCTTCTCGCCGAAGACTGCGCCGTGGTAGCGTCAAGCACCTCCCTGTGCCATAGGCTCGAGCAGGAGCTGCGCAACGCGAAACGCAGCCACCTTTCCTGCGGCGAAGTCCTGCTGCCTTGCGGACTGTTGCAGCGGGTGGCGCGAGACATCGTCTCGATGGCGGAGTCGGAACCGTGCGGTCTGCGCGGTTGCCAATTGTTTTTGCTGTTCGACGCTCAGCAAGGCACGTCACCCACAAAGATCGGCAAAATTGTCTGCGATCCGGAAACCGCGTGCACTTTCGAGCTGTACCTAACGTTGAAGCAGAACTCGATCGGGTGGAATTTTTTGCCGCAATTTCTTAGGTAAGGATATTATTTTTCGCCGTTAATTTTTGACGAGGTCGAGCGCGCCCGTATTATTAGAAAAGCTTCACTCTATATTCACGAACACGGCAGAATGACAGCGCGACGCCCCCCGACTATTAATCACCCTTTAGCTAATTTAGCCGTCACCCCGGCCTGGTCTTTTCGCGATTACCCCGTTGATTTCTTGCGTGCCTCGAATGCCTTCAAGAATTGGTTGAACGAAGGTACGGCGGGGGCGGGACGGGGACGCGTGGCGCGAGTGTTCGATTGATTCGGCTGCTTTCCGGTCTCGACTACTTGAATTTTTGCCGATTTTTTTTCGATTCGTTTGTAATGTCACCACATTTTTTCTTTCGAATTTGGTTAGTTCTATTCTTGTTTGATAGTTTACATTAAAAATAACCTTTTACCCGAATTCGAAGATAAAGACAGTTTTGACAAAAATAAAAGTACAATTCAAATAATAACGTCGAAAACAACGATTTATCCATAAAATTAACCAAAATATTCAAGTGAATATGGTTTTAGTCGTACTGGCATTTCCTTGGCAGCTTTCTTAAAGTTTCCGATTGTGTTGATGTTTTTCACAGAATTCGGAATTGAAAAAGTACCGGAACGCTTAAATATATGCCAACAACAGTGTTGTCACTTATACGTCACACGTCATAATTTTGTTATTTTCTCATAACTTTAAAATTTTGTTTCTATTCATGACAGCTATGGCAATACCGCTTTTTCAGAAAAAAAAACTGCCTAAGTTGGAACAATAAAATTCAATATGTATGAGTTTTTGAAAATGTCAGATTTCGCGATGATATTTATAATTCTGGTAAACTTTGATTGATACGCTTCTAAATTTTATTATGTTGAAAAACCTCTAAAATGCTGAGATTTTAGGATTTGTTTAATTACACAGGTCTACAAAATTTAAACTTTTTGACAGATGGTTTTTATTTTTAAAACTGGTTTTATATAATTTCGGTATCACGTAAGGTTTTTTTGCAAAAAAAACGTTGTTTCTAAAATAATTATTTATTTTTTCAAGTAAAAAATTGGAATCCTAGTTAAAAAAGTGACCAAAAAAACTTTATTCAAACTTTTTTGAGTGAAATTTTCGTGTTTTTGCCAGAAAGCTACGTTGTCCGGACATTCGGCTGTGTTTTTAAGGACATATCCCGTTTTAACATCCAGCAGTAGTCCGCCATCATTGCTATGCTCCATCTGCCTTGATATCGCCGTTCTTAATGTTCTGGTGAAACCTCTCTCCCTGTGTGAAAACAGGAAATGAAAGTGTTGTAAGTTATTGCGAACAATACTTTCGTAATTTTCATTTGGGGTTTGAACATTACACGACCAAAAATAACAATCATCACTGTGATTCGTAAACTCTCGCCATACCATAGGAACACCAAAGTTTAAACATTTCTTCCTACCTTTTTGTCAGTTTCTTAATGCTTTCACTCAAACGGAACAAACAATATGAGGAGCCCAGGACTTGTTTTAGTTGCCAAAAGAAGCGTAGTATACCTTTTTCACAGAAGATGTTATAGTTGATTTACTTCGACGTAACTACCACAGATATAACAAAAGTAATTTGGATTGTTCACACCAATGTCTTCTTTCCATATTTATACATTCCAGAACACTAGAAATGCGCATCCACGAAAACAACAGCGAATACAGTGGCACGACGACTAATACAACTAAACTGCGCATAAGCAGGGTAGAATATTGTGTTGACGCTTCTGCGCCAACTCCGTTGCTTTACCGCTAATTATGCTAATATTATCCAGTCTTGCCAAATCACATTTAATTTCATAAAAATCGATTCATTTAAATAAATAACATGCCTAACAGGGAACAAACATATTATGTCATAGGTATGTATATTAATAAAATAACATTTGTAAGATATAGAGCGCTAAAAAAACATGACGTTGTAGAGCAAAAATTTTGGGAAAAGTTTCCAAATAAGCAAACAGCTTTCAAACATCAAAATCACTGGAGACCTTTGTTATCAGTTGTAAATCTGACAACACTGTTATTAGCATTGCGGTGTTGCCGTAGCTCAATAAATAATAGAAATAAAATTTTGAAATCAACAGACCTTACTAAATTCGGCATGCGTCCCTCATTGCAACAAAAATAAATAGGCCATTCCATATAAAGTAACAAAATTATTATTAGGTGTAACGTAGATGTGGTAAAATATTGAATTTTTTTGTTCCAGCTCTTTTTGCAACCCTGTATAGTAAGGTCCTTTCTCAGTTATCGAAGGTCTGTGATTAGGTTTCTGTGAACTCATTTCTAATTTGGAATATAAATATTAGACATTCGTAACAATAGACTGCACACAATTACTTGCAATAGCTCAAAGTGTCATCTACAATGGGTCAGTTATAACGAACATATCGTCAATCATCAGCAATCTAGAAGCGCAATCGGCAAATATTTTCGGGTTAGTTGTCGATAGGCATATACGCTGAGACGAGCACATAGCACAACCAAAAAAATTAATGGGACTGGTGTCCAGATTTCGACATCTCAATTTATTTTAATGAAAATACGATTTATATTATACGTTAGTGTAATTCCAATTATGAACGGTAAGTACCAGTTCCTTCTATTTAAAGCACTCGCAAGTAATACAAAAATTACAGCAAAAAATATACAAAGAATCGCAAACCATGAATCTTAAGCACCTATTTCCATAAATTACTTCTTTATTTTCATAATTATATTTATCTGTACCATACAAGTTGTTTCAAGTTATTTTACAATATTTCAATTTCAAAGCTTAAGGATCAGTCATAATACTAGAATACTTATTTAAGCTAGACAACTAAGTTTAAAAACTTTGTATGTGGCGAAAACCAACATTAATTAATTCATCAAATTAAAAATTTGCAACAATTCAATCTTAATAAAAATAGGAAAATTAAATTAAACTAAGAAAAGCGATCAAACATGCGAGTGTTATCCAATATCTAGTTTTTCGCTTCTCTAGAAAATATTTTCAAACAAAACTTTTTTATTAATTTTCCTTATATTCATAGGAAGTATATTATTTAATTTTGGCCCCATATAAATTATTGCTATTGCTTAACATGTTAATGTACACCAACAGAGGTAACACACACGTTAAAAAGAGATCTGTGTCAATATAACTCGAAGTTATTGGGCGGTGGACCAGAGAAATATTATATCTTTTATTCCAAAAGTATATTATGTCCTGCTATGCTAGTAACAAAAAAATAGTCTACAAAAATATTTTGCAATTAAATATTTACAAATAGTTTTGTATTTCCGTTCGCGTTAGTAACATAACAAAAAATAAAAAAAACTATATTAAAATGATATTATATTTATTTAGTACTAATTTAGGTTGGTGGAGTACTACGTACCAAAAAAGGGGCAACAAGGTTAATTTGAATTAATAGTTTCATACAAATAAAACAAAAATTTAGTTTCAAGTATTACAAAAATGAGTTAGATATTTGTGAGTCTAAGTAAGAGTTTTCGATATGTCGTTTAAACCGCTTTCGAGACATTTGGAAAAATATCAAGAATTTTGTCCTGTGTCAGTTCTGCTATACGGAATATCAAATAGATTCGCGTTTCTTAAATTTCGAGCAGGAATTCTTAATTTGCGACAAAAGATACGGAGAATCAAATTTTGTCAGGTCTGTCATAGTCCGTTTAACTTGCAAATAATGTGTTACCTCGTTCATTTTTACCAGGGTGTAAGTTTTTTTGGAAATGTGTGGGATGTAGTGTCTTTCAAGGCTACAGAATAAAGGTCTTGTTGTACTTTAAGGCAGTGAATTCACCTTACAAAATATTTTTACCCTGATGCGTTGTTTTATTATACTTTATATAATATAAGAATCTGCAAATTCCTTTTGTTTTAGGCTACTTTTCATGCAAACTACGAATATGTCGAAATTAAATAAAAAAATAAATGATAATATTACCCACATAGGAATTTTGCGTTTTGTATTGCTTTTGTCAAATTGGTAAGTTGTCGGAAAATTATTATTAAAATTATTATTATTATTATTCGGATCCAAAAAATACGCTATAAAAGTGTAGGCTTTTGTTACAAAATCCCCTGTCTGCGAATTCTCAAAATTATATTTAAAAAATATTTATTATCATATTTAAAAAATCAAAATGCCTTAATAAAGAAACATAATAATATATATAATAATTAATATAAAAAAGTAGTTTAGAACTTTGTACAATTTTTTAAGATTGTTTTGCTAAACAGACTAATATTTTTTCATATCCTTAGCATAATTTTGGTATATTTAATAATTTTGTTCTTTATCTTTATTTTGTTTAAGCTTATAAAAAATAATAATAGTCATAATAACAAAACTGTAATAAGAAAACGAAAATTCAACACAGTATTTTGTAAATGTGTTTCAATATCATTAACACTGCGAGATGAAAGCGGAGATCTTCGGATATATCGGGGTGCGTGAGTCAATCGCAAAAAAAATGAAAGTTATAGAAAAGCCGTCGCTAACGATCACTTTATTCTGTAAAACCCCTCATAATTCCTTCACGCTTCGCGTTTCCCATCGCCATAGTCGATTTCTATATTTTACACCAAAAACGACCACTTAATCTACCGTGGCGGTCCGACCTTGCTAATCGACTTTTAATTGAGAAAGAAGTGTGTTCTTGACGACTTCGATGTTGATGATGATGATCAGCGTCATCGCGTTGATGGCGAGGCGGTTTTTGGGGAAAGTTGCGAGGCGACTGTAATTTACAGAATCACTGGTTGTTCGCCCACACGACACGAGAGAAAATGAAATTGTTACACGGTGTGGCGCGATAATAGATGTCCGTCGGAAAATTTTGTACAGCCTGTCCTACTAAAAAGGGTTCTCGGACTATACCCCAGAAAGTAGCAGACGTAATTTGCCGAAAACAAGGTATTACCAAAGAGGCTGGAAATTATTTTCAATTTTGTTTAAGAAAGGGGT